GATTAAAATATGTGTAAATGAATATATTATTACATTTATCTATTCGTATATTTATTATTTTGGGGTTTGATTATCTGTTCGTTCATTCATCCATTGACGTTTTTGCCTTCAACACATTTGTTCACGTCTTGTATAAAATGTGTAAGGCTATTAAATAGTTTTAAAACACGTGACTATTACAGCTAAAACATCAGGTAGCCCTGTCTTGTGTTATGTGGGGTATTTTAATTAATATTTACTAACAAATAATCCAGTTAAGAACACTTTATTTTCGTCATTTATCCGCGGATTTACAGCGAACTACGCGTGACGCATTTTGGTACTTTCCATAACTGCGACCAGTCCTTCGTGCTGCACCAGAACTGACCGACATTGTAGTTCATTTTAACGTAAAAATGTAAAAAAATATCGCACATGTAATTTTTCGAGATCGATAAGCCTACACGGCTGACGGTTCACCGTCATTTCGGGATAAAATATTAAGCATTAATAATCACTCGGCGTAAATCTACGTCAAACCCGACATAAGGATTACCGAACTGAGAAGAAGGGGAAAATGAAAAGCTATAAAATTCGGCACTGAATATTAAAAACATATTAAACAAATACAACGATATCTGTACCGGTTCGATTAAAATCCGATGTAACTGACGAATCGAAACAAGATTAAGACAAAAAAAAAGATTATATAGTGCGTGTCAACGGCGGTATTTGCGGTAACATTTATTTCCCTCGTTCAAACAACTCTCCTAATAAGTCTCCTTGTTAACTTTCACATTCTTTTTGGGTCGTAAAAAAACCCACCCCCCCCCTCCTCTCTTTTTTGTTTTTTTTGCTTTTTGTGGGGTTTTTGTCTCCCCCCCGGTTGTCATGGTGCACATTATTGCACGTTCCCATGCAGTGGCTGGAGGTTGCGAGTTAATGTCTCAATCGGGTTAAAGCTGCTCCCAGCTCGGCTTTGACCCGGTGCAGGGCCAGGGGCGGAGGGTTGAGTCAGCGGTCAGCCTGTCTAAGATGAAAAAGTGAAACGACCCCTAGAAGAAAAGCCACGTTTGAATGGCTTTATGCGACAAACTCAACCTCAACCCGGGATGGAACCAGAGGTCATTGTAAAATACACATGATCATTTAAAAACGAAAACATTTAAAAGGACAAATGAACACACACACACACACACACACACACGCGTGGCCCTCTTATTGATTTATATACATATTCTATTTTTTTTATCATATAAAAATAAAACCTTGTTAATTCAGTATCACAAATAAAAAAACTGATAGGGATTTTTAAAAATTCATAACCCAAGTATGGATGAGAAAAAATAACAATTACATTTTTATTTCAAAAAAGTCGCTTTTTTTCTCTCTCTCTCTCTCTCCAACTCTCACCGGCCTCGACGGTTTTGCACAACAATAATAACAGAACTAACAATAGACGCGCGACTCCCGCAGTCCTGCGTGAACTCTGCATGGTCCCCAGTCCGAGCCCCCACGTGGCCCTGTCCAGTTTCAGAACTAATGAAACGGTGATCCAGCGGTCAACGATTCTGACTGACCCTCTGGCGACCTGACGGCAGCTAGGCTACATTCTTCTCGAAGAATGTCCTTTTCAAAAAGCGCGACATCACTCCCGTTGTTGTTGTGGTCTCCCAAAGTTCAGCGCTCATTCAGGACGTGCCAGCTAATGACTCCGTTGACCATGCGCCATTTGAGCAAAAAGGACTTCAGCTCGGAGAATTGTAAAAAATGAAACTTTCCAGGTCAGCGTCCCATTTGGTGTCCCCGTGCACCGACATGGATTAATGAATCAACAGTCTGAATTGTGATAAGATAATTTATCTCGTGGATCCTCCACCAGTCAGTGAAGGAGCGTTCATTATTCACACCGATCGCTCTGAAATATCGAAATTAATCGAATTAAAAGGCCGGCCAACCAATCACGGTGTGGTTCATATTTAAATGCTCTTTGTCCTTAGCGCCGCTGCTCCGAGTGAACAGCACAAAGTTACCTCGACAATGCGAACAAAGCGCTTTATTTCATTTTAAACAAATGGTTTGAAACAGTTTTAAGCGCACGCTTTCAAATGTCCAAACTTAATGAATGTATTCAGATATAATTTTGTTAAGCCAGGAATACGTCATATTCGTCATCGTGTTGAGAATATATATACTTATATTCAGGAACTTCACGTTGAAATAAAAAGTAATATATATATATATATATATATATATATATATATATATATATATATATCTAT